GAGGAGGGAGGGGGAGACAGAGGAAGAGGGAGGGGAGGGGGGGGAGAGAGGGAGAGAGAGAGGTGCCTCTGTATGTTTGTTTCACCTCCTCTAATCAGTTTTCCTGGGGGATGCGTGTTGTCGACTGCAGCAGAAGAAGAAGGTGGTAAAAGAAGACGACGGAGGACAGTTCAGTTGAGCCCGGCTGAAAGATCTTATTTCATCACTATAAGTCTGGTCAACACACACAAGTAAGGAATCTTGTCTTAAAATCAGTCATTTTGTTCTTAAGAGAAATATCATAGGTCTTAGGCAGATATTAAATCAGTGCTGCCACAAGGATTTGTTTTTTAATATATTATTAAAGCAGATGTATTTAGTGTATGAAACTGGATAGCATGTATTGAAATTGTGATTCTGTGGCTGTGCATAACTGGGCTCATCATGCAGCAGCAATGATTTGTAGTACGCTTAGTTTTTGCAACTCTTACCAGGAAATGTGCTAAGCATGCTTTTTGAACTAAATCAGTCATATTTATAGCTGTGTAGTACTGTATACCAGCTGGTTGACCCATTTTGGTTTTAAATAAACATATATATCTGTTAGCAACTACATCCTCTCTAATGCAGCAAGAGTTTCAAAGTGTTCTTCCTACGAGATCAAACAGGCAGAGATGCTTTCTGTGTCCTCCTCCATATGCATGAACACAGCGTCTCCTTTCATCATGTTGCTCCACAGAGCGATAACATCGCCTCGCTGTGTTACAACTGGTGCAGTTATGATGTATGATGGGAGTCACTTTCATTATCATTAGGTGTTTTCTGTTGCCTTTGAAGGAGTTTTTTTCTCACATAACTGGCTTTGAATTGTTTATGCCTTCAGATAAAAATAAACCAGATTGGCTTAGAAACCTTTGTGTAAACTGTGTTCGTAGATGTATGTATTCAAAAGTGGGGCACAAACACAAAGGGACTTGGCTTTGACGACTCTTCCTGTGAGAATATCCCCCGTCCCACTTTCTATATTTGAAAACTGATGCGTACATGCATGTGAAAGGAAGAGAACACAGGCTGGACAACAGATGTGTAGGAACCCATGTGCGTGAGCTCCTCTGGCTTTCCTGCAAATGAGCTGCAGCGCAAATTTCACACTTGAAAGGTTTTAATGGTCTGCTGCAGCCTGTCCATCATGATGACTGCTGTTCACCTTTGTAGACCTGCAGTCAAGGTCAGTTCAAAACCCAATCTTATTTACTGTTAATCTTCACCCTGTTAATAAGAACAAGACATATTAAAGAAATTTAGACTTAAATAAATAATAGATAAACTAATCTAATAACGGATTAGTTTATAGTTTTAAGATAAAGTAAGTAAATTAAGTTAATAATTTATTCTATTGCTCAATATGTGACAAATAGGGAGGGCTGTAAAGAGATATTAACGATGGTATGAATCAAAATAATATTTAATACATTGCTCATCATTTGGCAACAAATTAGATGATTGTCTAGTGAACTTATGTTTAGATAAGATATTTTTATAATAGCCTACTGAAAATGATTAGTCAAATGTTAATATAATTACTAACTTTAACTAGTCATTTTTAAACACACCGATTTAATATATATATATAAGGTAATGACATTTGCTCTTCAGCCCTGACAATAAATAAAACGTATAGTTTGTAACTGTTGTAAAGAAAAATTAAATAAAAAATAAATTCGAAGCTTAAAAATTACCATTAGGGACAAGAAGGTAAGAAGTCCTTTATTCGTCCCACTATGGACAAAATTCACAAAAGAATTACCTCCCCGTCGGGGAATTGAACCCCGGTCTCCCGCGTGACAGGCGGGGATACTCACCACTATACTAACGAGGAGCCATACATACAAACTCGTCAGACACACTTATTACTGTTAAAGCATTCCGGAGGGAGAATAAAGAAAAACTCTTCCCTCTGTTACAACAACAAATCCTACAACTACAGAATTTACAATTTGTAGTAAAAACAAGACCGCTTGATGTGGAATGGAGAATCAGCGACATCAACCTGCGCTGCCGTCGAGCAACCTGCTAGCTTGGACTGCTTTTTCACAGGTGACTTCATTGGCGACCAATCCTGGACTACTGATGAAATTCTCGTCTTATCTCAACATGTTTTCAGTCCTGCTCTATTTGCATGCTCTCTATTTTATTTTTACACAAATAAACAACAAGCACACAACGTAAAACTTTTTTTAAAAGGAGCACTGTTTTATTTAAACAACAACAAAAGTAACTAATGGACTTCACCGCCTATTTTGTGGAGCAACACCTTACACAGGCAGCCCTCTTGGATTTTGTAATGGCAAGTGTTCCAATTGTAGCCAGTAGGCAAAGAAAGTGTTCACCAATCGTCATTTAGTTTAATTTGTGCTTTATTAGCATATTTTATTTGTGTACTATAAAGAGACATTCACACACAAAGATACCTTAACTTAGCAGCCTACAAACATTATTAAAAAAATAGATAAATACTAATACTTTAATTGAATGGTACAACTCATGCACACTGCCCCCCCTCTTTCTCAATGACAACAACATGCAGTGTGCTGCTCTGTAGTGGGATGCTAAGGAGATCAGTCAGAACTCTCAGAGGAAATGACTCACACTGGTTTAAATCACACAAACTGTGAGTTCATACTCCCATCATCGACTCAGATCAGGACAGGATATCACTAGGTCAAAACAGTCACAGTCTGAACAGGAACGCATGTAGTCAGGTTCTCCAGCTGCTTGTAACTAGATATTATGGCTACACAGCTCTTCAGAAAATGTTTACTGGCCCTTTAAATTAAACATGAGCCATGGATCATTAAGTTGCATACATCTTGGAAATCTTTGTCCCAGGCTTCACTGATGGATGACTATTCCTATGATTTCTGGCCAACGAAACAAAAGGCAGAGAGAAAATAAAATAAAAAAGATTTAAAAAAATGTTTGCATTATTTTTGACTATTTGTGGGGGTGTATATAGTTTTTGTCTGCAACCCCTTCCTTCAGATTAGCAGTAGAAGATTGAACAGTTCTGCGGATGTGTGGTTGCTGGGAGACAGCTGTAGGTGGATTATGAAATTCATGGGCAAGACAGAGGCCAGTTGCTCAGCTGGGAGTTGTGTGATTACAGAAAATGTCAGCTAAGGGCAAGTGGAGTGGGAGGAGGGGGAGGAAGATGAGCAAAAAGAGCAGGACAGTGAATAAAAAGTCATGACTCAGACCCTGTGAATGTGAGTCTATTGTATGTTATATGTACAGTACATATACAAAAGAATACGAACGTTCTCTCCAAGTCAATTTTTCGACCACAACTGTACTGAATATGCAGTTTTGGTCACAGTATCTGCTTAATTTTCTGGCTATTATTATTTTCATATTCACTCTGACTTACTATCCTCCTGCTTCACCGTCTGTCAGCAATGGACCTCCTTCTCTCCACTCCGTGCAACATTCAGATTTGTGAGGTTACCTGTGACTCTTTCCGCATCATGTGGGACATGTCGCCAGAGGACACAGCCAGAGCCACACACTTCTTCATCGACCTGAGCCGGAAGGAGAGCAAAGATCCGAACCGCTTCAAACACAGGGTCTGAACATTTAAACCTCCTGCTGCCTTTAGTGAATGGCATCTGTTTCCTCCTGTGTCGACTAATTAACAACAAGCTTTATCCCAATCAATATTATATCAGTCTGTTCTATAAGAATAACATGACTGCTGCTTAAATTGATTGACACATTACAGCAGAGGTCCACCTGGATTAACAGGTGGTGTGAACGCTTTAAACCAGTCTACAGTTGTGCTATTTCAGTGTCTCCTACAGTGAACAAAAGCAGATTCACAAAAGTGACAAATTGAGCTTTTTCCTTCTGTTATCTGCTCCCAGTGAGCTCTTGAAAAAAAAAATCAGAATGACTTTGCCCTTTAAATGAAAGTCTTGCCTGCCATCATTTCGTCATTCTCCTTAACTGCAGAAAATAATATTTTAAATCTCAGCCAGGAAGTCTATGTGCTCCCCTCAGGGACTCACTAGTGGTCTCGGCAGGGGTCCCCAACTACCTGTCTGTGGTACTGCCCTGTTTGTCATTTGATACCGGGCTATGGTTGTCTTTAATGTAACAATTAGTAATTTACTTAATTTAAAGACAATCTGGTCATTTCCATTTACTTTTTTTATTTACAGATAATCCGACAATTAAGAAAAAAAAAAAAGGTTTTCAGACCGGTGCACAGTATGGTGTACCACTACTCTATGGATACAAAGCTGTTGTTGTTGACAGGTATTTCTACCTGCTACCATACAGTACATGCTACGTGTTGTAACTGCAATTATGTTATTATATATTGGAAAATTTTAATATATTTTTGGGCTAACATTTGGGGTAACAATTTTCTATATTTTAAGCAAACATTTTAGGTCTCACATCCTCATTACCTGGTGTGTTCCTTAATATCCACAACATCAGTGTGTGATTTAATGCCACTTCAAAATATCATATATTTCCTGCTATTGACATTTGTAAGTGAACTCTTTCTGAACTGAGATGCTTTCTGTTGCTCTCTCTCTCTCTCTTGCCCTCTCTCGCTCTCTCTCGCTCTCTCTCTTTCTCTCTCTCTGTCTCTCTAAAGTGGCAAAAACAAACTTGCGTCAGAAATGTTGCTATGGTTAACAGACCCCTGAGTTTCACTAATTAGCTGTACCAGTCAGAGGCCCATTAGCAAAGCTGCTGATTTGATTAGATGTATTCCAGTTACAGCAGCCTAGGCTGGAGGAGGAAATAATTGATGTCATACTTGCACTTTCATTCCCTTTGAAATGTCAAGTTCATCATGCATCATTTCTCTGAAGTCAGTGCAGTGCTGTTTTCTCCTCCAGGATGTGCCGACCAAGCTGGTGGCCAAGGCCGTGCCTCTTCCAATGGCAGTGAGAGGACACTGGTTCCTCAGCCCGCGGACAGAGTACTGTGTCGCAGTTCAAACCGCTGTCCGACAACCAGATGGTGATTACCTGGTGTCAGAGTGGAGTCAGGTGGTGGAGTTCTGCACTGGAGGTAGGACGCACCGCTGGCATCTGATTTGATAATAAGTGGAACGTGGGAAAAGTATTACAGTAGATTTAACTATAAGGAAAACTAAAGGAACCTAGAAAGAAAGAACCTTTGGTCTTCTGACATTTGAAAAGTTTAAAGGGAGTTTGTCAATGAAAAGACTTTCTCAATACAAAAAAAATGATTTCTCATCTTCCTTCTCATTTCTACACGCATACTACCATATGTCTCTAAAGTGCATTTTTGTTTTTTATTAAATTAAATTAATTGTAAATAAAATATCACAGCAAATATAAATCTCAAACCTATATTTTAATAAATTAATGCATTATTTCAGCATGAAGTGAGTGAATTGTCAATTATAAATATTAAAAAATTATATTAACTTTAAAATGTCCAATTAAGTCTGAATATTTCGCCAGATTCCACCCTCTAAATTGTTGTGTGCTCCATTTTAAAGACAATATAATTTTGTCTATGTTGCTTAAATGTAATAAAATGAAAAGAAGAAAATTAATAATTAATCTGTTTAAAGGATATTAATTAATTAATTAATTAATTAATTAAAAGAGTGGATTTTCAAACAAGCGTATGTGTGATTGACTTTAAGGTGGTGATTTGAGGAGACTGTTCTCTCTTTACCTTGCTGCTGTAATGTCTGTTAGACCACTGTGAGTAGTGGAGACCTGACAATGACTCCTCACTACCTGTCATTATTACAGACTACGCCATTGAACATCTCCAGCAGCTTCTAGACAAAGCCAAAGGCTCCACAGGAAGGCTGCTGAAATTCTCTGTGTTTTATCGGAACCAGCAGCCAGACTACTTTGACTACGTCAGGTGAGATCTCTCTTGACTCACTCTACTGTATATCCAAAGCCACATGCCTCCAGCTCCTCGATGTGAAATTATTGTTGTCCTCTTTCTCGGCTTAGGGAGGAATGTGGAGGAGTGATGCGTCCAGCTCTGAAGGACAACAGTGGGAGTCACGGTTCTCCTATTAATGGGAAACTTCAAGGAGTCTTCTTCAGCTGCAACACAGAGTTTGATACAGGTCTCCCCCCCAAAGACTCCCCCTACGGTCCGTTGCGTTTTCAGATCCCTGAACCCCAACATCTGCTTGTACTTCGCAGACTTCTACTGTATGTACACAGCCTACCACTATGTGGTGCTGGTGTTGGCACCGGTCGGTTCAGAGGGAGACAACTTCTGTCGCACTCGTCTGCCTATGCTCGACTTGTTCTGCAATCCTTTCCTGACCTACTGTGCTCCCCAGAACCATGGGGAGGAGCCTGTGTACTGCCACGCCAGTGATGTCATCTTGGAAGTGCTTTTCACCGATCCAGTTCCTTTGGATCGAGGCAGCGTGGAGCAAATTAGTGGACACCACCAGCTCATGAGTTTGGCAACAGCTAATGCCAAGAAGGACCCGAGCTGCAAAGTGTGCAACATTAGTGTGGGACGCTGAGGTCAGATGATGATTCTGGCAGATGTGCCAGTGATTGAGTCACAATGGTGAAGTCACGGTGAACAGTTGTGTGTGTAGGTTAAAGCACAGAGGAAATATCTCACCTGTTAGTTGGTGTGCAGCATGTTGTCTCCTCCTTCCCTCTTTCCTGGACTAGAACATTGAGTTTTAGACTAGTTAGTGTTACTCTGAAAATTCATCACAGTCACAGCTGGAGACATAGTTAACCCACAGCTAAGATATAAATATTCAAAACAAAACAAGGGAAACTTAGAAATCAAGGTACACAATCTAAAGTCTTCTTTGCTTCTTTCAACACTACATCTCACATTTGATGAGTTCATGCAGCATATCCTGAAACGCATGCGGATCATTAAAAAAGTACAGGAAGTACAGGAAGACACATGAGCTACCGACTTACAAATCTTGTTCAATAAATCTTTTAATGCAACTCACACTGTGAAAGTAAATAATCTGTGATGTGAAGTCACTGCTCACAAATAATGAAAGCTTTTATTGGCTTTTGTCAATAAGGTGCTAATATTCTTTTTCTTTTTGTTACATAAAGGTGAATTATTTAAAGCTGCTATATCTTTATTTTAATTTCCGGGGCAACACACTGCACTGTTAACACTAAATGATGTATTTTTGTAATATCCTTTAACTGTTGTTGTGAGTAATTTAATATTTAACTGTACGTTTGCTATTTTGTGCAAAAACATCTGGAGAAAAATGTGTAGACGTGTGTAAATAAGTCACATCTCTCAGGTCAATCATAAGCAAAACAACAAAAACTTTCAGCACTAATTGGTTCAATTCAGATGTCAATAAAATGTCAACAACACAATGCCCAGTCAACACTCAGCATTGTCTGGTCTTCCTTCCCTACAGTTATTGGTTCATCAGAAAGTAGGTTAATCACTCCTTCCACTGTTCTCAACACACAGTTGCTTCCATCATATAAATGTATGCTAAATAAATATATTTTGTATTATTTCATATCCTCTGTCTTTTTTTTTAGTAGCCAAGAGCTATTTCAGTCTTGGGTTATTTATTGTTGAGCAATCCATTCCAAGCAATTAAAAAACATTTAGCCTTGGTGGTTACTTTCCAACAAATCTTTAAAAATGTATCATGTATGTCGCCGGAATGTTTTCAATTTCCCAAACTGTTTTTTTTTCTCTTTTACTCCTTTGCTTGCTACTTAGCTACAGAAAAACAAAACAACTCTGATGCCAGTGGTGCTAAACCAAGATTAGCTTCTCTTGTGTATCCTCCCTTGGTATCTTGGCCCACACAGGAATCCCAGGAATGGCCTACGGTGAAAGGGATCCCCACTCTGGCACACAACAGCAGGACATGAGTGGTTACATGTAGGACGTGACAAAGGGTGTGTATTAAACAAGGCCACCTGTTTGAAAATGTCCAACCATCTTTATTTGTACCATCCTCATATGGGTTGTCAGGGGACTGGAGCCAATCACAGCTGAGAATGGGATAAAAAACCAGTACACCCTGTACTGGTGTCCAGACCTTCACAGGCCTCATATAGAGAGAAGGAATCATTTATACTAGCATTCACATTTATTCACATCCACTTACAAGAGCTTTGACACAACATTCAAAAGAAAAAAAGAATCATAAAAAGGAAAAACAAACAATAATTTTTTGGCTTTGACTTTTTGACGTTTGACTTGTTTGTTAAACACTTTTGTTGCAGGGCGTTAGAACAGCGGTAACATTAGCCATTGGAAAGGTCGTAGGTCATGCTCTTTCGCTTCTATTCTTCCCACTACAGAGGTGTGAGCTCACATTTACTACAATGCTGTAATTGTGTCCACAATTATTGTCCCAAAAAGGTTGGCTGTGACCTCCTGGCAGATAACGCAAACAGAATTCAATCTTTCTCTTGGCGTCTAGCACTTTGGGAATAGAGATGTCAAATTCAAAGATGTCTGTCTGTGGTCCTCCGAAGCGCTTCTGGACATATGTACATGACACATCTTTGAAGCTCTGCCATGAGTCAAAAGTGATGCGGACACGCACGTCCTTCTGGAAACTGATGTTCCTGACACGGACTGTGCCCTGTAGGGTCTGTTCAGTGACACTGCAGTTCTCCAGGATCACCATGCTCTCCTCCAGTTTGGCTCGAAAGGCCTGGAAATCTGCAGAGGGCTGTGGGAAGCCCAGTACGAGCTGTGTGCCTGGGCAGCAGGTGCTGACAGTGCGGCTATAGCTGTCCTCTGTCGTGCTCCCCAGCCCTTGCAGCGATGGTAGCATGTTAAAGTCAGAATGCTCCTCATCATCAGAAAACTCTCGAACATCTGTGAGAGACAGACCTCTGGAGTCAGCAAACATCACCCGTTTCTCCCTAATTGGCAGTAAAATCTCATCATCCACGTCATCCAAGTCTAAGAGATTGGAGAAGGGATGGTTGAGGAAAGCTGCCGGACTGTGGATGTCTGAGAGTAGCTGATCTGACACCAGGCGGATACAGGAACGCTGGGGCTTCAGGATGGGAACCCAAACATGAGGACAGAGCTGTTTACTCTGGTTCAAACACAGCCTGACAGCAATCTCCACAAGTCCAGATGAGTGAGCCATTGACCCGAAATCAGATTGGCAAAACACTAATAAAAGATAGAAAATAAATATCAACTCATTCCAGCCTTTCAGTGTACTCAGGGTCTGTAACTGTGATGGTTTAAGGCTGTGAGGTGCAGTTTGAAACACATTAATAGTAATAAAAATGCATACAAATAAAACAGGTCTGGTAGGGGCTACTGGCCCAAACTTGTTCTCAATAATAAAGTGACAGGTTTTTAAAGATTTTAGATACTGGACGACAACCTGACTTATATAAGAATTTCCTAACTTTTTTTTTTCCATTTTTACTCACATACGCAAGCAGCAAGTTGTTCAGTGGAGCCTCAGTCATTCTTTATCCCCCAGTAGAAAATAGGCCAAGGTCTCCATAAATACTCCTTTAGCTCTGATGTCATGTTTTAAACTCCACCCACTTCATCCTACCAACCAATAAGCTGACTGCTTTGATTGTAGCCACTATTTTTTTTATTTGTTGAAAACACAATTTCAACAAATAATAAAGTATTTACTCAAATTATTTAACTGTTAACTGCAGTTCATGTAAATCAGTAGTGGAAACTATTCACTCTCTGACACCTGTCAATGAACGCAGATCCCACTGAGGTCTGTGGTCAGGATCCAAGTTGACTGAAGGTTGGCCTGTGTCCAGAGATCTTTGTACGAGCAGACGTCAGCAGGTGACGCATGAGGAGGTTTACATTTACAAGTCACCCAACAAGAAAGCCAAGTTTGAGTGTTCATGCCCAGTTACGTGAGCTATGCTTGTAATTAACTTTTTATTGACATTTACATTTACAGACTCCATGACACCATGACCCCTAAACCATGGCTACAGTTTCCCACTGTCTCACAATAAAGAATGTAAATGCATGCATTTAATCATTACGCACACCGTCTTTTTGGACTATGAGTCGCACTTTTTTTCATGCTTTGGCTGGGTTTGTGACTTAAATACTAAAACATATAATTTCATGTTATTTTCACACTGAGAGGCTTGTTTACAGGAGTATCTGCTATTGCTGCAGGTCGCACTTTTTATCATCCTTTGGTTGCTGTGACTTATACTCCAGAAAATATGGTACTTTTTTTTAAATCTAATTTTATTTTTGTAATTTTGTTATCAAAATTAGTGAGTACTACCTTATGAATATGCAAGCAAGGAGGACCGCTTTAAGAACATTCTCAGAAAAAACTCATGAATATGTCTACGAAGATTCTCAGTCATCCAGGTCATAGTCAAGGTTAAAGAGTTTTGTTAGGCAACTGGACATGAATTTTTCTCAAAGGCATTTCACCTCTCATCCAAGAGGCTTTTTCATTTTTTTCAGTTTTAGTTTTCCAGTTACCTAACAGAACTCTTAACCTTATATCATGAATACTTTCTCAGGGTCTGAGTGAAGCCATCAAGAGAGGCTTCATTATGTGTAAAGTTAAAGAAGGTGATACATTGGCTTTACATGCAGTTACACTGTGCACACAATTCTTTAAAAACAACAAAACAAACACACAATACAAAAACTAACAGCTCTATGAAAATATAGACAAAGATGGTGAGATCATTTTTGTACAATTAGCTCATTTATGAGGAAAAAAACAGTGACAGTGATATAATTCATCTGGATAATCACATTTGAGTGTGTCTAAAGAGGCCAAGTCTAACACATCATATTATAATTATCCATCCAACCAAAACTAAAAGGGTCCAAAAATAACACCACAGCTTCACAGCATGGTCCAGGGTCTGATGAAGCCAGTTCCCTCACAGCTTTCACTTCTCATTAGCACTGATTGTACATTTGCTGTTAGCAGATGTCCTCCGAATCTCATTTCCTGAGGCTGAGACACTACATCAGCCTCAGGTGTTTTCAAGAATGTGTGTCCTGACCTGACGCATGTTCAGTTCTCATTAGCATATGTGATGAAACGTGAGTCAGATCTCAATTCACTACCTCCTGCATTCACACCTAATGATAGACCTGAAAAAAAAAAAAGGTAGCAGATGAAATGCACTGGTTGTACAGGGTGGTAAATATTTGTGAAGATTTTCTCTCTCTTCCCTGTTGCCAAGTAACAATAATCAAGGATCAAAAGTGAGAGCCAAAAATAAACCCAGATGATACTATAAAGCAGTTGCTTATGTAATATATGTAGAAGTGTGTGTGAAGAGGATGGCAATTTCTTTGGTTAGGAGTTAATGAGAAAGACGACACAGCTGAGTGAGCACTCTCTTCGTCACTGACCTCTGTATTTAAATTAACTGAACAGCTCCACTGGAGACTAGTGGAGATATGGTTCTGTACCGCATCAGGTGCTGAGAACCTTCTTCGAGATCCACAACGTACTCTCTGACATAAGACGACAGTGGAAATTAGTTTTGTTTCGCCAATGCTGACATAAAGACGAATATGAGGGCCACAGTGCCACCTGCTGGTTGGTTAAATGTGTACATTAATACCTCTGATCATCTGTTTCAGGTTCCACCAGGATGTTCTCCTGAGGCTCCTTTACTCGCAGGAACACAAAGGAGTCCAAGCAGGGTTCAGGGACTAGGTTACAACAGAATACATGAGACACTAACTGTGAATGAACATCTTTTGAACATGAACATCTTTTAGTAACTTTTGAAGTACTCTTTTAGTAATTACTAAACAATATTCTGTCACTACTGTCAACACTGTACGTTGAAATGATGAAACTAGACTTTCTTAACAAATATAGGTCATAAGGAGGTTCTAGGTCATGAATCTTTTTTTAAATCAATAAACATCTAAAGGATCTGCACTGCAAGTCCCACAAACTTTATGAATAAAACACAAGATTGATTTACAACTTGATGCTAGATGGGAATGCAATGTTTTTTTTATTAAAAATGAAATGAAAATGAAATGTGAAGAACTTGAGACTAATGACTCGAGTGAAAGCAATCATCTCACACCTGCAAAAAAAATGTTATTACTTGAGTAGCAAAACTGTTAATTATCTCTAAAAATATTGTTGAAAGTATGCATTTTGTACATACTGAACAACTAAAACAAATAACACAAGACAGTGATTTTACCTGCTTTAAGCAATTCCACTGTCTGTAGGTTGGGGGGCATTCGTTTTAGTGCTACAGCTTTCAGATAGGTTTCCGTGTTGGCGTGATATCTGCATTCAAGACAACAAGTTAAGTTGAGAATAACAGACAAACAAACAGCCTAAGATTTAGTTGACAGGACTCACTCTTTGGCAAAGGCAAACTCCTCAGGTGAGAGCAGAGAAGGCTCACCCTCACCTCGAGATTTTTCCTTCTCCAAGACGTGAGGAAAAAATCTCTCAATCTGGACGTGCAAAAAACAAATAAATAATAAACCATGTTTGCAAGAACTGTAAAGAGTTGGTTTTAAACCAGATGTTTTGCTGACCTTCTGCAAACGGGAACGTAGATAGCTGCTCAGAACAAAGCGGATCCTGTCTATTTCCATGCGGTGGATGCTGGCCTTAGCATCACCTTTCTTCACACGCTGTAAGTTGGCTTCCTGTACAGACATACATACATACACACACACACACACACACACACACACACACACATATATATATATATAGATAGATATTATTTAAGTTAAAGGGTGTCTTTTATTCAAGATAACATATAATGACCAAAACTACTAAATTGCACATTCAAAAATTTAAGTTTATACTGCATAGTGAGATTTTATAAAAGGAACAGTACAGTCTAGCCAAGTCTAGGTAACTCATTTTTTAACTTACCAACACACAACATCAAAATGGTAGAATTTCTTTAACCTTTCTCTGTCACTGAATTTTATTCCTGTTTTGGTTGGCTAAATATTTAATTTTCATGTTCATCTGAAGGTGTAAAAATACTTTCAATTATTCTAAAATTATAAGATCACAGTTATTTAAAACAATAAATACTTTAGTTACTTTAGTACTGCAATCCCTATTTGCATTACTATTATATTTGGATAAACCAGTGTATTTCTATTTTATATTCTATTATAAGTATATGTTTATCTATCTATCTATCTATCTATATATATATACATATATATACACACACATATATATATACACACGCATATATATATATATACTATATGTATATATATATATACATACATATATACACATATATATACATATATACACATATATATATACACACATATATAAATATATATACATATATACATACATATATATATACATATATACATAAATACATATATATACATACATATATATACATATACATACATATATATATACGTATACATATATATACATATACATATATATATA